GATTGGCACACGCAGGTATTATCGAATTAACGTGTAGATTCAATTTCTCGGAGTAAGTTTAATAAAAATAAGTTAATTAAACGCAATATAATCCATAAAAGTAGTTTTATTCAATGTGTAGTGTTCGCGTAAATATTCGCTAAGAAGACTAGAAGATCTCAAGACCAAGCGCGCAAGATATGATATGATATAACATAATGATATACATAATTATACGCTGCATATGACTGTGAGAAAAACCATACAAAACTGTAAATTTTTGAAACTAAATATTTTAAACGCGATAAAATTAGTATAGATAATTTTATTCACACGGAAATATAAGAAATAATTATCTAAATGTTTTTGTTTTAAATGTTATAAATAGGCATGCACGAACTTTGTGCAAAAACAAAGTCAATTACATACGCATTATTAAGAATAACTCAAAAACTATTGGTCAGACCTTGATCAAATTTAAATGGGACCACATGAGAAGCACCAGCTTTCAAATAAAAAAAGAATCATTGAAATCGGTTCGCCTAGAATAAATTTCTGAGGTAAGACACAAAAATAATATAAGTACAATTTTTTTATAAGAAGAATAAGTTCCCAACAGACGCTATTTGTGGGCACGTGTTATAACTTAAATAAAAGCAAAATTTGGCTGAACAGATTTTTTTAAACATAGCTTTTTTTTATAGGATAGGGTGACAAACGAGCACACAGTCCACCTGATGGTAAGTGGCTGCTGTGGTCCATAGACATCTACATCTATCCTCAATAAAGACTCAAGATGCAGATGCGTTGTCGCCCGTGAGGACTAAGATGGAATGCCTCTTTGCCAGTAAAAAGGGTCTCCGGTTCTCTACACTCACCATACGAAACACAGCAGCGTTAAGCTGCTATTTTACGCTGGTTTTCTGTGAGAGCATGGTCCTTCCGAGTCGAGCCGACCCATTCGTGCTACAACTATACTACTAATATAGCTGCAGCATGGCTCTACCACGTAATAAAAAGGTACATTGAGTTATATGTACTACGTACTAGAGAAGCTATTCTAAACAAAAAATGTGCACTACTCTATGTCATAGGTAACTCTATGTCTTCGCGCATGCGCGGGAGATAGTAGAGTCGCGCATGCGCAGTTGATATAAGCGCGTTGCGCCTGCGCGGTCAGTTTTTAATTTAAAGTTTAATTTGAAATCTTGTATTATTAGCGCCGCTCCACACTGCATATATATTGAAACCACAGGCTAACTAGTAGATTGAAACCACACTAAATGACACACTGTACGGATTGCAGTACAGTTCAGTTGAACATAGTGTATGTTCGGAATGCGAAATCTAGTACGTAGTACATATTATATATCGATGCATAGCTAAGAACACTCGATTAAGAACACTTTGAAACGAAAAAAAACTTAATCAAAATAGGTTCATCCGTTCAGGAGGTATAATGCCAAAGACAGCAACCCTCTGTTTTCGTAGGGGTTTGATAAATCAAGTTGTTTATTTCGTGTGCGGAATATTCCAATATATAAAAATTAATATTTGTTTGTTCGTATTTTATGCGCTGCCATACCGTTCATGAGATAGCGCTAAAATTTTATAGGCTAAAAGGTTATAGGCATAGTACAGTTAACTTACAGTAGGTGGCGCGCGTATCGCTCCGACAAGTTTATTTAAAAGTAATATATCATTTAATTATAATTTGTAATTAGTATTTCAAATTATCATTCCCAATTAAAAAATATTACTTAACTCATCCAAATTTAAAACAATATTCCCACAATTATTCCTTCAGCGGCAGCAACATACCAAACAAAAATTTCAGCTGGTATGTTTTTTTAATAGGATAAGGGTAACAAACGAGCACACAGTCCACCTAATGGTAAGTGATTGCTGTGGCTCATAGACATATCTACATTTATTCTCGATTACGAATCAAAATGCAGATGCGTTGTCAGCCGTGAGGACTAAAATGGAATGCCTTGTTTCCATTAAAAAGGGTCTCCGGTGCATTGAACTGCTATTTTACGTTGGTATTCTGTAAGTGGGTGGACCTTCCAAGGTCGAGCCGACCCATTCGTGCTACAACTATACTACTAATATAGCTGCAGCATGGCTCTGCCACGTAAAATGTAATACAAATAAGTAATGCAATGCAACGCAAGTGTAATTGCTGTTAAAGAGTAGATACCACTCAATTACTGAGACTGTAGGATACAAATAAAACACTGTTTACCGTAACGCCTTGCTAATGGCACTGAATTTATTATGTAAGCAAAATATTTATACAATTCACTTAGTTAGGTGACGTCATACACGAGTATATTCAGTTAAAGTCCATTTACACTAAACGCCAAAACGTGTAAGACTCGTTTAACCCTTTAGGCATAGACCCTGAGGACTGCGGTGGGAAGCCTCGTTTCCAGTCCACACCACACTAGCGACCCGCCCCGGCTTCGCACGCCGATTTCTGTACCTCGACAACAACGACGCCTACCGCACCCTATTGTCAAACCAAACCATTCTCTAATCAACTTAATCACTCACATACACAAAATTTCATCGAAATCGGTCCAGCCGTTTAGGAGGAGTTCAGTCACATACACACGGACAGAAGAATTGCATAATACATAATGTGCATGTGTTACACATATAAACCTTCCTATCTATACAAATTAATAAAATTGAAGTGTCTGTTTGTAATGTCAAAATTACAGCTTTTTACTAAATGCATATGAAATTATATACGGTACTAATAACAAAAATACAATTTTTAAAGTTTTTGTCTGTCTGTCTGTTTGTTCCGGCTAATCTCCGAAACGGCTGGACCGATTTTGACGGGATTTTCACTGGCTGATAGCTGATGTCACAAGGAGTAACTTAGGCTACTTTTATTTTAGAAATAGAATTAGGGTGCCGCGCAAAAAAATTAAAACCCTAAATAACACGCGGGCAAAGTCGCGGGGAACAGCTAGTTCGCAATAAAAATACGGTTGACCTTACAGGCCATCTATGCAACTTCCCGCTAATTTCAAATGCAAAGCGCTTCAAAGTGCACTCTATTATGATGTTTTTGAGTTCTTCGACGATCAAAGCTCAAAAACGTCATAAAATTTTAAGAGAAATTCAAGAGAAATCTTGTGAAGCCGTTCAAAAGTTATAAGGAATTTATGCGCACGCTCGGACGCACGCACGCACGCACGCACGCACGCACGCACGCACACACACACACCACACACCACACGCACACACGCACACACGCACACGTACACGGATTTTCGAATAACGGGGTGAAACCAATAACTTCCCGCTTTTTTGGAAATCATTGATTTTCGTAGCGAGAAGTTAAAAATATTCAGGGTCACTTATCGGGATAAAAACTATCCTATCTTTCAAGTTGGACCAAACTGCACACAGTGTGCAAATTTTCATTGAAATCAGTTCAGTAGTTTAGGAGTTCATCGCGGACAAACAATGTGACACGTAATTTTTATATACAAAGACTAGCTGTTCCCCGCGACTTCGTTCGCGTGTTAGGGTTTTTATGTTTCTGCGCGGAACCCTGATTCTTTTTCTAAAATAAAAGTAGCCTATGTTACTCCTTATGAAATCAGCTATCTGCCAGTGAAAGTCCCGTCAAAATCGGTCCAGCCGTTTCGGAGATTACCCGGAACAAACAGACAGACAGACAGACAGACAGACAGACAGACAGACAAAAATTTTAAAAATTGTATTTTAGTTATGGTATCGTATTTACTTTCATATGCATTTAGTAAAAAACTGTAATTTTGACATTACAAACAGACACTTCAATTTTATTTATTTGTATAGAGTATAGATTTTATTTATATATACTGTGAGAGTGAGGGAATAGAGAGTGCAGCTGTACTTGCGCATACACTCGGGCACTATAATCTTGTCCTGCGCCGATGGCTAGTCTCCGATGAGAATGACCGTCGTGACCGAATTCGGTGTGGGGGACATTATTACAGACAAACACTTTAATTTTATTATTAGTATATATAGATTTAAAAAAATGAATAGTTAAGATCCGCGTAAAAATAAGAATGATTTATCTTACCTAGTTTGAAGAGCATCTTCCTCAATTGAGCGTGCACTATCCCCAACACCACTACACTGGGTAACGGTGGTGCTCTACGAACTAGGTAATATATATCGTTCTTATTTTTATGCAGGCATTAGCTGGTTAACTTTGACATCTAAAACAAAGTCTTCAAAAAAACAGCTTTTACAGCTCCGAGCTGTACACTGAAGTTAAAGTTACAGCCTATATATATATATATATATATATATACGTCCCACTGCTTGCCCCTGTACCCTGTGCCACACACCTCATTTCTGAGAGGGCTTCAGGGCAAGGAAATGTCCACCGCGTAACCTCAATGCGTGTTGGCAAACTTGTCTTTATTTTTTTTTTTGTTATTTCTCAGACATCCGATGTTTTACTTCACCGACGAGCACGTCGTAAATCAACACTTAAAATTGCAGTTAACAATTTCATTGGCGCCGGCGGGGATCGAACCCGGGTTACTCGCGTGCTGTAAAATTTACAGCGAGCGCTAACCATCTGAGCTACCACGGCTATTACAAAACCTTTACACTATATATTTAAAAATATGTTTTTTTTTTTATAGTGTAAGGATGACAAACGCAAGTGAAATCTGTGGCCCATAGACATCTGCATCTATCTTCAATTAAAAATCAAAATGCAGATGAGTTGTCACCTCTGACGACCAAGATGGAATGTCTCGTTTTCAGTGAAAAAGGGTCTCCGGATCTCTACACTGAGTATTCGATGTTTAGTATGGTGAGTGTAGAGCACAGCAAGCTGCTATTTCATGATGGTATGCTGTGAGAACAACCACAATATAGCTGCAGCGTGGCTCTAACACGTATAAAACTTGTACTGAAGTTTCAAGAATTGATCAGATTCGTTTGTTTTAGCTCCGTAAACGAGGAATGTGAGGTGGTGTGCGACCTGTGATAAAATGGGCGGCGGTGCAATCGCCGTGGGGGAGGCGAGGGGCGCGTTCCTTCAGGAAGAGAGACCGCACCAAACGAGACGTGAGTATTATATTATTGGTGAATTCGTAGTGTTATGATTATGTTGTCCTTGTCGATTACACCTACAAAACTGTCTTCCAGACCGAATTCCGCTCACGGTGGCCAGTCTCCACGGAGATTAGCCATCTGCGCAGTGCACTCTCTATTCCCTCACTCTCATAGTCCGATGAGACGGTAATTCGACATGACCGGAGAGAGATCAGGTGCAGGCCAGCAGCTTTACGTGCTTTCCGAGGCACGGGGTGAGGCACCGCCAACTTCCTGACTTTGGGTTGCTACCGAGAATTTCTTGCAACCGCGTTTACGACTACTAAATCAACGAGGCAGACAATGGCCGAAAGAAACAGACAATGGCTTCAAAAAGACAATGGCCGATGCTCATTTCTACGAAGGAGATGTTATGATGCGGTGTTATTAAAGATAAATTTTTAATTACCGTGTTCGTTGAGTTGAAGCCAAATTTTATACTTCAGTTCAAATATATAAATAACTAGCTGATACCCGCGACTTCGTCGGCGTTGCTTGATATATTAACAAAGTTTTCGTATGTGCGAAGGAAAAAACATCAAAAAAAAATTTCTTTTTAAAAACATGTTATTCGTTGCAACGTTTGTTAGCTAAAATTATCTGCGTTAGTGACGCGAGAGCAAGCGACGTACAGTTGATCGTGTGAAAAAACCCCTGCTTAATCTTTATTTCTTATAACTAATAACTTGATAGTAAATGAAGATATCGCAATATTTTTCTTTTTTAGATAAGGGCCAAGTGCCTAAGGAATAAAACATAGAAAACCTAATTGAAATCTATCTAGGACTTCTTCCGTGGCGCGCGCACAACTGCAAACTATCAATTTATTTTTTGTAGCGTAGATGATATACCGTTATTGCAGTTCTTGAAAATACTAGTAAATAAGGCTTATAATTTTTTTTTGTAATTATCTCAAGTTGAATGTGGTTTCTGGGCGACAACGTATTTGCCTACCCTTACAGATGTGTGCGTGCGCAGCAAAATCATTTAAAATAATGCATTACCGCGCATTTTGAATTTAAAAGTATAAAAAAGACAGAACGTTTGAGACTTTTTTTAAATTAATTTTTCATCACCATTCGCCCATATTTAATGCCTTTCGATTTCTGTAGCGTGAAAAGGGTAAAAATAAGACAGACATGTTTAAAAATAAACCTTCCAGCGTCCTTCGCAAAACACAAATTGCCAAATGACTCGTTCATTCTTCACAGCCTATCAAAGTCCACTGCTGGACATGGGCCTCCCCCGTAGATTAATTACTTCATACGGGGTATTTTGTCGTAGTTGTAATGTTACTGTTGATTTGCCAAATGACTCGTTCATTCTTCACAGCCTATCAAAGTCCACTGCTGGACATGGGCCTCCCCCGTAGATTAATTACTTCATACGGGGTATTTTGTCGTAGTTGTAATGTTACTGTTGATTTAATGATTTCACCTCTCAGTGGGTCATGTGCTCCTGGTAGATTATCTTCTATACATACATCCTATCAAAGTCCACTGCAGAACATAGGCCTCCCCCATAGATTATCACATAAGAGAGATTTTTGCCATAGTTGCCACGCTTCGCAGGCGGGTTGGCAACTGCAGAGTTTAAATTTTCTATTTGTTATTAGGAAAACGTTGCTGACTATCACCTGGTGTGTGACCCTCAGTCGCATCTTACGAAACGCACAGGACGGTATGGTGTAGTTGATTTCTTACACCGCCACTGTACGTCAATCGTTTTGTTGTTGTTGTGCCGCATTCCGAGTATTTCGATCATTGTAAATTGTTACGAAACGGCTGTCATTCACGTTTTTGGACGTGGGTTTGATTTTCTTTTTGATTCAATCGATAATAAATCGGTTACTTCGTCGTATGAATTTATTAAAATTATGTCATTAAAGATATACGAGAATATTGTCGTAAATTATGATACGGAGGAATACTGCCGTAGGCCGTAGATTTTTGGCAATCTTTGCCAAATTGCGTAGCGTTGCGTGGAACACTGTAATTGTCGTATAATTTTTTTTTTACAGGTAATATGCTGTATCTCATATCCTCAAAAATAATTTATTTAACTTAACAAGTGGTAAAGTTAAAAATTTTGTCAACCGATTTCATGAATATTACAACCCTTCACAAGTCCACTGCTGGATATAAGCCTTCCTAAGGAATGCCACAAAGCACGGTCCCGAACCACCTGCATCCATTGACTTCCTGCATGTCTTACTAGGTCGTCATTCCATTTAGTGGGGAACGCCCTACACTTCGCCTGCCGGTACGAGGCTACCACTCGAGAACCTTTCTTCCCCATCGGTTGTTGGTTCTTCGAGCTATATGGCCCATTGACACTTCAACTAACTAATTCTTTGGGCTACGTCGATAACTCTGGTTCTACTGCGGACATTCTCATCATCGTCAGTGTACGCGAAGTCAATGAAATACACATTATTAAGGATAACTCAAAAGCTACTGGTCAGATCTTGACCAAATTTACATGGGACCACATGACAAGCACCAGCTTTCATTAAAAAAATCATCTAAATGGGTTCATCTAGAAAAAATGTTCTGAGGTAACATAAAAATACAGTCGAAATAAGAACCTCCTTCTTTTTTGAAGCCTGTTAAAAAAAGTCGGTAACGCTATTGACAACACGCACTAGATGTACTTTGTTCTTTTTAGGATTTATGGATTAAGGATATACATAATTACTTATAAAAATAGCGAAGATAGCGTTATTATTTAATTTAATGCCATTTCATTTGGTCTACGAAATGCACCTTGTAACTTTCTGCTGTTGGTACAGAGACTCCTCGTCCGTTAAGCGGCGGTCTGATGCTGATCACGTCGCTGGCGGCCGGTGCGACGGCCGGGGCAGTTGCCAAGACTGTCATTGCGCCTCTCGACCGTGCCAAGATCAGATTCCAGACTACGTAAGTGACGATTAAAGCTTATATACGTCCCTGTCCCTAGCAATAGCCTCCTCTAATTTTTGAAAGGATTTTAAGGCTGGACATTATCCGCTGCATCGCCCCAATGCGTGTTTGTGAACTTCATATTATGTCTTCGAAATATTTTATTAGGGTTCCGTACCTCAAAAGGAAAAAACGGAACCCTTATAAGATCACTTTGTTGTCCGTCTGTCTGTCTGTCTGTCAAGACCCTTTTTCTCAGGAACGCGTGGAGGTATCAAGCTGAAATTCATATCACATACTCAAGTCTACTGTCCCTTAGAGCTGTGAAAAAATCAAACTTCTAAGCCAACGCAATCAAATGATACAGCCTTTTATACCGTAATTTTTCGACATTCGCAAGGGAATCAAAACCTACAGGGTACTTCCCGTGAACTCATAATCTTGAAATTTGGTACGAAGCAACATTTTATAGCACATATAAAGGAAAAATTGCGAAAAGCATAAATTTTTAGTTACATCATATGATAAAAATATTTTTAATAATTTTAAACTTATATACCTACAGATTTGTTCGGAACCCTCGGTGCGCGAGTTCGACTCGCACTTTGCCGGTTTTTTTCAAATCAGTTCTTAAATTGAAATTAACAATTTCATTGGCGCCGACGGGAATTGAACTTGGGCTGCTCTCGTGCTTTAAAATTTACATCAAGTGAAACTCTTGAGCTACCATGGCTCTGAGTATGACAATATCTTGAAGTCTTCATCAATAATCATAAAGAATAAATGAACTACACCAATAAAAAGTTAGCGACGAAGAAATTGGTTCGGTGTGATTATTCATCGAACCGTTAATTCGAACTCCAACTGATGGAATAGACATTTTAATTTTCTTTTATAAAACTGAAGTGACAAACGAACTTAGTGGTTCGTTTTCTGAAGTGGATTGCACTTGATGGTAAGTGGCTGTTCCATTAACTGGACATCTGCAGGCAACTTAAAATAAAGTACACTACAGATGCGTTGTCATCTCTACTAAGATGGAATGCCTCTCTGTACTCTTCAATCCTGAACACAGCAGTGTAAACACTTTTGGGTTTCAGTCGTACGCAACCATCACCCTATTTCGTTCCATGACGTAAGAGACGACTGTGGACAGTATTGAAGTCCTCCACTAGTGTAGTAATTTTAAGGTATCCAATTGTTATAAAAAATGGTTAAAGAATCTTTAGGAGACCACTTTCACTAGGCGGTAGGCCTTCTTTTGTAAACGAGCACACAGTCCACATGATGGTACGTGATTGGTGTAGCCCATAGACATCTACATATATCCTCCATTACGTAAGGTATCCAATTGTTATAAAAATCGCTACGGAATCTTTAGGAGACCACTTTCACCAGACGGTAGGGCTTTTTTGTACCTACAAGTCAGTCTCAGCAGGTACCACCGTTACCGTTACAGCATATTTTTTTATAGGATGAGGGTAGTAAATGAGCACACAGTCCACCTGATGGTACGTGATTGGTGTAGCCCATAGACATCTACATATATCCTCCATTACGTAAGGTATCCAATTGTTATAAAAAATGGCTACGGAATCTTTAGGAGACCACTTTCACCAAATGGTAGGGCTTTTTTGTACCTGCAAGTCAGTCTGAGCAGGTACCACCGTTACCGTTATAGCATATTTTTTTATAGGATAAGGGTGGTAAACGAGCACACAGTCCACCTGATGGTACGTGACTGTTGTGGCTCATATACATCTACATCTATCCTCGATTAAGAATCAAAATGCAGATGCGTTGTCACCCGTGAGGACTAAGATGGAATGCCTCGTTTCTAGTACAAAGGGTCTCCGGTTCTCTACACTCACCATACTGAAACAAAGTAACGTTAAGCTGCTATTTTACGCTGGTATTTTGTGAGAGCGTGGCCCTTCCCCGGTCGGGCCGACCCATTCGTGCTGCAACTATACCAGTAATATAGCTGCAGCATGGCTCTACCACGTAAGAAACCACTAAGCTGAAATGGAGTCTTACCACATAGTAAATAAATATACGATAATGATATGGGGCAGTGTATATTCTTACACAACCAACACACAGCGACATAAACATTGGTGATAGACAAAGAATCCTTTGTCCCCAGTGAAATTCCCTACTCAACTCGCGCCGCTGTGCAGTTCCTGGTGAACAGTGCGAAGACGGAAGGTGTGATGGCGCTGTGGAGGGGCAACAGTGCCACCATGGCCCGGATCATTCCCTACGCCGGTATTCAGTTCGCGGCGCACGAGCAATGGAAGAAGTTGTTCGGAATCGACACGCCGTCTGCTGCTCAGTGAGTAAATTGTTCATCTTGATTTTGTTTGCAGTTTAGAGTAGTATTAAATACCGTGCAACGAAGCTCAAGGTCGCTCAGTGAAATATGGAGAGGGCCATGCGAGGGTTTCTCTGCGCGATAGACTTAGAAACGACGATGTCCGCAGTAGAACCAGAGTAACCGACAGAACTCAAGGGATTAGTTAGTTGAAGTGAGAATGGACCGGCCATATAGCTACTGGATAACCCCTTTTTTATATAACACTAGCTCCCAGTTCCCAGTGACTTCATCCGTGTGTTTATTTATTACGATTGCATTTCATGGGTTTTAATGTTTTTGCGCGGATCCCTATGTTTTTTCTAAAATAAAAATAATAATAAATAATAGCCTAAGTTGCCAGTGAAAGTCCCTTCAAAATCAGTTCAGCCATTTCGGAGATTTGCCGGAACAAACAGACAGACAGACGGACAAAATTTTAACAATTGTGTTTTTGTTATAAATACCGTATAACCTTTCATATGCATTTAGGAAAAAGCTGTTATTTTGACATTACAAACAGATTCAATTTTATTTATTTGTATAGATTTATTTCCCTTTTAGGGTTCCGTACCCAAAGGGCAAACAATTTATTACTAAGCCACCGCTGTCCGTCCGTCTATCTGTCTGTCAGTGGACTGTATCTCATGATCCGTAATAGGTAGACAGTTGAAATTTTCACAGAATGTGTATTTCTATGTGTATTTATATGGTACGGAACCCTTCATGGCGCGAGTCTGACTTGCACTTGGTCGATTATTAAGTAATTTTTGTTTAATTTTTTATACTTGCCGATAGACAAACCTTCTAAAGTTTCTGGGACTTTTTTGTAAGTGCATATACATTGCCATATAAAGTAATTACGGACTCTTGGTATTTAGTAAAGTTACATCCTATATACGTCCAGCTGCTGGGCACTAGCCTCCTCTCATTTCTGAAGGAGGTTTTAGGGCAAGGAAATGTGACGTTTCAATCACGATGTTTTCCTGCACCGCTAAGCACGTGGTGAATCAGTACTTAAAATTGTAATTAACAATTTAACCGGTGCCGGTGGAGATGGAACTTGGGTTGATCGTGTACTGTTAAATTTTCAGCATTACTCAACCTCCACCGCCAACCAGATAGCCCGTATGCTGGCCGGGAGAGTGAGAGAGAAGGCATATCTATCATATCTAAAAACTAGCGTACCTAAAATTCTAGTTTTCCCGACGTTGCTAGCTCCCATACCATTTCAAGAATACTTATTAAATGTCATTTAAGCTTTACCACTAGTTCGGAAAAAAACCTCTGTCCAGGGAAGAACCAGCAAGAAACCAAGCGGGACTTTTTTAAACATTAATTTACAATATAAATGATTTGCATTACAACAAAACATGTATTATGTGTTGAATAAAACACACAGCGTTTAGCTGTCTGTGAACCTCGTCTTTTAATCTAAATAAATGCATAAAAACCTTACCAGATTATCTATGGTCTGTGACTTTCGTCCAATCTCTCACCAGCTAGGGCGCCTGTATTGCGCACTGTCAAGTGTCTATGGTCATAGCGTCTTCACCACCAGCAAGTTTTATACTGCAACGCTGTGTGTTTTTTTCATTCGACACATAATACATGTTTTGTTGTAATGCAAAACATAGTGTTGCGTGCCACTATTAATGTCTTGTACATGGCAACACTAGTTACACTAGCGCCCTCTAGTGTCGAGTAGCAGAACTAGGAGAGTCAAGATCCTTCCAGAAACTTCTTATATTATGTGTTTTGCTAAAACACACAGCGTTTAGGTGAAGACGTGTTTGATATCTGCTGGTGAAATCATGAAATATAAACACAAACGCTATGTGATAATTCTGAAAACAATTTAATAATTAAAAACTTCACATGGATTATAGTTATAACAATTTTTAAGAAACGTCTTAGGACAAAATCATATAACTGTGAAAAATTAAAATTACTCTTAATTAAATTCAAAGTATATTTCTGAGAAACCATCATAGCGAATCACAATCTAAAACCACAAGATTACTATAAATATATTAATATTGAGCTTAGCAACACTTAATAACATTATTAAACCTGACACTATGAGGATATATTTAAAACAAAAACTTAATTGAATTATGGGAACTTATAAAATAATACAATTAAACCGGACACATATTAGAAGATAACAAATCAGAATTATCTTTATTTTCTAAAATAACTGGACGACAATAGAATTTTTTAAAGGTTTTTTTCACTGCACCCGTTTCCTCTTTCTAGTATCACTTCTACCGGTCTGTTTTCAAGCCAACCCCTGGAAGCTACTTTTGACCGTATACTTCCTGGAGATGCTTCTATGTTTGCTGCTTTAAAAATAGTTCTAATCCAACCAGATATCATAGTCCTTGAGGCGGGTTTAATTTTGCCTGTAACTGAAATAAACAACTGATCTATGTTTTCTTTCGCTCTTCTTACTTGTGAAGATTGAATTAACAAATAAACATGTCTAACTGGACAAATATTTGCATCAGGATGTTTCAACAAATGCCAACCAGATTGCTGGTAAGTAGAAGAATCTGTCTTGGATCCATATTCTGGCCAAAATATTACCTCATCATCCTTTTGTATCAATTTATCTTTTGAGATATGTAACAGAGATAGGTCATGAATTCTACGTTCAGATGCTAAAAGTAAGATTAATGCCGTCCTTCTTGAAATGTCAAAAAATGAATTTGTACTAGGAGTCTCCTTCAACCAATTAACACATCCATATAATCACGCCTTTCTCCCGTAGGGGTAGGCAGAGATCACTTCTTTCCACTTGCTACGATCCTTACATACTTGTTTTGCTTCGTTCACTTTATACCACCAATTAAAAAGCAGTTTAATATCCCAAATTGGTGGTTTCTTAGGTTTTGGTTTAGCCACAGATATTGCCTTTAGAATTTGGTGGACAAAGAAATTTGATGAAATTTTTTCAATGTTAGCACAATAAGTTGAAATAGCTGATTTATGTAGAAGGATGGTGCTATATGCAAAGTTTTCGTCTAAGTATAGTCTAGCCAAAAATTCGGCTACATCATTTCCACTAGGAGACCTAGGGTTTATATTGTTGATTTTACACCATATAATCCACCTTCTAATTGGTGGACCATATGTTACTAATGTGGACTTTCTCCAGCTAGTGGTTAATAAATCTCTTTCCTTTCGCCTCCAGTGAGCTACTTGGGTATCCCACCCCCAACCTTCCACGCTAAGAATGTTAGCTCCCTTATCTGTGGGGGAGGTAGATTCGTGGTCAAGTCTATCAGGCTTGTTTCCAAATTTGGTATTGGCAATGGATCTGTTAATGCTCTCGCTTGTAGATCTGGAAGCCAATAGCATTGACTCCATTGAGGAGTTATTATTATGTAAATCTCTTTTGCCTCGTTGAGGTGTGCTAACACCCGTGGGACAAGATTTGGTAGAGGGAACACCCAACCTAGTTCCCAGTCCCATTGGCGACTGAATGCGTCGTAGTACTCTGCGCAGCCATCTTTTGAGTCTAATGTAACGTATCTTGAAACTACGGTGCTTCCGAGGCCTGGGGCAGTAGGTGCCACTCTGGTAGCGGCCGACCTCTTGACAACCGATCTGCTATTCCGTTCAACCTTCCTGGAAGGTAACACGCCGACAGCGTCACATTGAGCTGATCGGTCAGTTCTAGCAATGTTGTTAAATCCAGAAGTGCTATTGATCTTGTCCCTCCTTCGTTTCTTATGTATGCCACTAGAGTCTGCTTGTCTGTCTGAACAAGAATGTGGGCATCTTTCAGAATGTCTTGACAATGTGCAATAGTGCCAAAAACTGCAAACATCTCTTTGACGTTTGAGTGCCATTTCTTTTGTATCTGAGTCCAGGTGACAGGTAAGACCCGTTCAGGTGCGCTCCCCAACCTGCATCCGCTGCATCGGTGGTGAGAAAATGTGTTATCGGACCCTTTTTTAGTGAGGTTGTGTTCGTCGCTATGGAATTGAGCCACCATTCTAACTCTCTTACAGCTAGAGGTGGTAAGACTCTTTTCTCCCTCACTCTGTCTGGAGAAAATGTTTTTAGAAACCTCTGCAGTCTCCGACAATGTAAACGGCCTCTTTGGACTGTAACGTTTGCAAAGTTTAGGAGTCCCAATAAACTTTGCAATTTCTTTAAAGTGCAACTCGTATGCTTTTTTATTTGTAAAAGTATTTCTTTTATTTTCAAAACCTTTTTTGTGGGCAATGCTATTGTTATTTTCTGTGTGTTCCAGTCTAGGCCAAGATATTCCAGCTGTTGTGATGGCTCCAGTATTGATTTTTGGTAGTTTATATACCACCCTAATGTCTCCAAGGTACTCACGGTTTCCGCAACCTGAGTTTTGAGCTTGTAGCAGTCCTGATTGACTAGGAGGTAATCGTCTAGCTAAACTAGAACACGAATACCTCTGGCTCGAAGTATTTCCGCAATCCAATTCGTTACAGCAGCGAAAGTACGAGGTGCTGAGGAGAGGCCAAAGGGAAGAGCAGTTAGTTGTAGCACTTCTCCATTGTAAATTATTCGAAGGTAACGGCGATGGCTCCTTGAAATTGGTAGATGGCAGTATGCCTGATGGAGGTCTATTTTTACCAACCAGTCCTGGTCCTGTATAAAGTCCCTCACCGTTACTTGTGACACCAATTGAAAATGTCGGATTGACACAAACTTGTTTATGTTCCTTAAATTGAATATGGGCCTCAGTGTGCCATCCGATTTCTTTACAAGGAACATTTTGGAGTGGAAGCCGGGATCTTGTTCTGAGGGTTTCTCTAGAATTTTTTGACTTTTAAGAGATAATATCATGTCTGTCATGGCTGGAGAGACCTTTGTTAAATATTTTTTTTTGAATTCTGACGAACTATCCTCGGATCATGTTTAATGTCCATGTCACACCTATGCCGGTAGTTGTTGGGAGCACTAAGCTCGAAGCTGTTGACGAGTATGTTTACCTGGGACAAATAGTCCGACTAGGTAAGTCCAACTTCGACTGAGAGGTCAATCGACGGATTCAACTCGGTTGGGCAGCGTTCGGAAAATTACGGCACATCTTCTCGTCAGGTATACCTCAAAACTTGAAAACGAGACTGTACAACCAGTGCGTGTTGCCAGTGATGACATACGAAACTGAGACGTGGTCCTTCACTGCTGGCCGTATGAGGAAGCTCAAGGTCGCTCAGCGAGCTATGGAGAGGGCTATGCTCGGAGTTTCTCTGCGTGATGAACTCAGAAATGAGGATATCCGCAGTAGAACCAGAGTGACCGACATAGCCCAACGGATTAGTAAGCTGAAGTGGCAATGGGCCGGCCATATAGCTCGAACCGACAACCGATGGGGAAAAAAGTTGGGCGTCCCCCCACTAGATGGAGTGACGACCTGGTAAGATATGCAGGAAGTCGATGGATGCAGGTGGCTCAGGACCGTGCTTTGTGGCTTTCCTTGGGGGAGGCCTATGTTCAGCAGTGGACTTGTGAAGGGCTGTAATGATGATGATGATGATGATCCTCGGATACAACGGCTTGTGGAGATTCATCAAGAATATTTTCTTGAGAGCAAGTCTCAACAGGTTCGGCTTCACTAGCACTGCAATTAGCACTCATTTTGGCAATACAATACTATTTTAGTACTAATCGTAATTAATTACTATATAGTACTATTTTAAACCACTGTGTATAAATTCAACTCAAATTCACATAGACTTAAGTGAATTAATAATTTTATCAAAAAGTTTTTAAATTACCGAAGTTTACTCAAAGAGTTTCACAAACGCTATGACCATAGACACTTGACAGCGCGCAAGACAGGCGCCCTAGCTGGTGAGAGATTGGACGAAAGTCACAGACCATAGATAATCTGGTAAGGTTTTTATGCATTTATTTAGATTAAAAGACGAGGTTCACAGACAGCTTCTTCACCTAAACGCTGTGTGTTTTAGAAAAACACATAATATTATGTTTTATACAATTAAGAGTGAACACATTTAGAAACAGCATGGTCGCGATCACCTCACTCCCTATGTACTTTTTAGTAGTCTATACAAATAAATAAAATTGAAGTGTCTGTTTGTAATGTCAAAATAACTGCTTTTCACTTTTTTCTTTATAGGATGAGGGTGACAAACGAGCACACAGTCCACCTGATGGTAAGTGGTTGCTGTGGCCCATAGACATCTACATCTATCTTCGATTAAGTATCAAAATGCAGATGCGTTGTCACCCGTGAGGACTAGGATGTAATGCCTCGTTTCCAGTAAAAAGGGTCTCCGGTTCTCTACACTCTCCATACGAAACACAGCAGCGTTAAGCTGCCATTTTACGCTGGTTTTCTGTGAGAGCGTGGTCCTTCCCCGGTCGAGCCGACCCATTCGTGCTACAACCATAATATAGCTGCAGCATGGCTCTACCACGTATAAATACATATGAAAGTATGTACGGTACTACCGTCTGTCAGTTTGTTTGTTACGGCTAATCTCCGAAACGGCTGGACCGATTTTGACGGGACTTTCACTGGCAGATAGCTGATGTCACAAGGGGTAACTTAGGCTACTTTTATTTTAGAAATAGAATTAGGGTTCCGCGCAAAAAAATTAAAACCCCAAATAACACGGAGGCGAAGTCGCGTGGAACAGCTATTATGTACATATAATAACCCATATTAAACAATTTTTACTTAAAAGATTTTTCATCTTTTTGATTATATAAGATAAGACCTTCATATTTTCTGTTACTTTATTGTAAATTGTATTGTAAAACAGTATACTTTGCCCCATGAAAGAATTCTGATTATCAATCATATATACTCTATATAATAATATATGTAGTATAATAACACATCATCTTCATCATTACAGTCCTTCACAAGTCCACTGCTGAACATGGGCCTCCCCCAAGGAATGCCACAAAGCACGGTCCTTAGCCACCTGCATCCATCGACTTCCTGCATGTCTCATCACGTCGTCACTCCATCTAGTGGGGGGAGGCCCTACACTTCGCCTGCCGATACGAGGCCGCCACTCGAGAACCTTTCTTCCCCATCGGTTGCCGGTTTTTGGAGCTATATGGCCGGCCCATTGCCACTTCAGCTTACTAACTCGTTGGGCTATATCGGTCACTCTGGTTCTACTGTGGATATCTAATTTTTAAGTTTATCACACAGGGAAAGCCCGAGCATAGCCTTACTAAACAATTACTATTTAATAAAAATTTTAAACTTTTCCTGCATATTTTCTGGGACTTTGTTGTAAAAGCGTATGCATTGCTCCATGAAGAAAGTACTGACTCTTTGGAGTCGATTAAGAATCAAGTCCGCGAACATCATATCTAAAGCGTCTCTGTCCAGGGAGCACCCCATCCGGCTGCTAATTGTGGGTTCCTTGGCCGGCGTGACGTCACAGAGCGCCACGTATCCCCTCGACTTCGCCAGAGCTCGTATGGCCGTGTCGCCGAAGAGCGAATACGGATCTCTACGCATCGTGTTTATACGCGTCGCCAGGGAGGAGGGCATCCGAACTCTATATAGGTGAGTGTGTTGCATTATTTCACGAACATACACACGTACGTATTCGTGCCACACACGCACGTACATTTACACGCACACACACACGCACGCATTATCTCTTTTATAAATTGTATTGTATTCATTCATTAAATGAAAATAATTTTTACGGATTCTATCGCGTTTAATTTAACTTTTTAATTCCCGACATTTCGGGTACCTTACAGCAACTGTGGTCACGGGGGGGGGGGGGACTGAGGTGTACGACGTCCCAATGTCATACTTAACCACGCCTACCTCCAGATTATAAATTATTAATTTTTGTTCCGATCTACGCAGCATGAACTTACAGTATCTTGAAGTCTTGCAGTGGTATGCTTATTAATTTATATCAATTATAGGATCCCAAGCAGATGACAGCTCCGATCCATCTTCTCTATTGAAATTAGGATGTTTTTTAATTTCAATAGCCTCACGAATCATCCTTGGTAGGAATCGGTGTTCTTTTGCGAGGATTTGTGGTTTTTCAAATCTAATGTAATGGTGGGGAAGATCTTGAACATGTTCACACACTGCAGACTTCCCGGAACATCGGTGCTTCATGTCAGCTACTATGTGTTTCAGCCACACGTACACGCGCACGTATTGATGCACCTACGCATACACGCACACGTACGCACACACGCACATGCAAACACCTTTTTCAAGTGAAAATTTCTTTAGCTTCGTTGTGATTTGAAACTCGATGAAACGAAAAAGCCACACTAAAAAGAGACAAACATACATATCTATAAGATTTAGCCTGCGAGAGAATGAGATAGAATGTAGTACTTTTTTATAGAATAAGAGTGACAAACGAGCACACAGTCCACCTGATGGTAAGTGGATGCTGTGGCCTATAGACATCTACGTCTTTCCTCGTTTGCGAATCAAAATGCGATGCGCTGTCACCCCTGAGGACTAGGAAGGAATGCCTAGTTTCTAGTAAAAAGGGTCTCCGATTTTCTACACTCAGCATACGAAACACAGTAGCACTAAGCTGCTGTTTTACGCTGGTATTCTGTGAGAGCTTGGTCCGTCGAGCCGCTCCGTTCATGCTACAGCTATGAAAACTCTATGTAGTTGTAACATGAATGTAGTAAGCATAATCAAGTCGTCACTCGACACTCCGCTGGTTACTGTTTTATTTTCACAATTAAATACCATTTATATTATACATTAAATTTAAATACAATAGCGCAGACAAAACTTATGCAAAAACAATTAAATTTCCAACTGTCGTGGGAAATATTTATTTAATAATAGCGACCTGCCTCAGATGCGTCCGATTTGGATCTATTAACGTGGCGTTATTTAATTTTACTTTATATCTTTTATTTTATATCTAAATAAACTGGAAACTAAAGAGTCATTGCCAAGGCAACGTCTGAGCACATCGGCAGAATTGGTGAGAAGCTAGTTGACCTTCCTTCGGGAACCCGCGCATTCTGGTCTCTCGCCAAGGCTGTCCAAGGGAACTTCTGTCAGCCATCTCTTCCATCTCTGCACAGAGAGGACGACTCACTGGCCCATGCCGCAAAGGAGAAAGCTGATCTGTTAGGCTCTCTTTTTGCGTCCAACTCGACTCTCGATGACGGGAGGAACACACCGCCGACTATCCCGCAGTGTGAGTGCTCCATGCTGGATGTGCTGTTTACACAGCGCTTGGTTCGCAAAGCACTCCTCTCCCTGGACGTCAGCAAGTCGAGTGGGCCTGATGGAGCCCCTCCCACTGTGCTGAAGACGTATGCTCCGGAGTTGGCACCGGTTTTAACTTGTCTTCTCTGGTACTCCTGCTCCCAAGGCGTAGTCCCGAATTCATAGAAGACAACTTTGGTGCACCCGATGCGACAGTTCAGACCCGTCCAATTACAGGCCTATCGCCATCGCCTCCTTGTTCTCCAAAATAATGGAATCCATTATTAACTGCCAGCTCATGAGGTACCTTGAGGATCGCTGATTAGTGACCGCCAATACGGCTTTCGTCGGGGTCGATCAGCTGGTCTACCTGACTCATAGATGTGCGGAGGCAGTAGAGTCCAAGGGGGAGGCATTGGCCGTTAGTTTGGACAAAGCGAAGGCCTTCGATCGGTCTGGCACAAAGCGCTTCTTTAGAAGCTCCCTTCCTATGAGCTTCCCGAGAAATTTTGCAATTGGATCACCAATTTCCTTGCTGATCGGAGCATCAAGGTCGTAGTAGACGGTGCATGCTCTGATTACAAGTCTACTAATGCTGGTGTTCCACAAGGCTGCGTGCTATGAAAGCTTTTTCTTCTGCATGTCAATGATATGTTGCAAACTGGTAACGTTCATTGCTGTGCAGACGACAGCACTTGTGATGCTTTGTACCGGCCGTGCCAATATTTCTCGGGAAAACGTCGCCGAGTACCGGGACAAACTTGTGTCTGAAGTTCAGTCTTTGCTGAACAAAGTTTCGGGTTGGAGGTGACTAAATCTAGTCAAGTTCAATCCCCAGAAGACACAAGTTTGCGCGTTTACCGCTAAAAAGAACCCTTTTGTCGTATTTCCTCAGTTTCAGAGCACTCTCCTTGTTGCCTCAGCTACCATCGGAATCCTCAGCATCCGAAAAGAGCCTAGAGCAAGTACCGCGTGCATCTTTTCAGATTCGGCCCGTATAACCGCAAGGTCGGTGGGGCCATGGGAGGTGAAGGGTTGTTCCCATCTCTGGGCCGGGACACCCCAGTGCCAGCTCCTTCCATTTGACCGCATCCAGCGCAGAACGGTTCGAACCCTCGATGACAGAGTTCTTTCTGATCGGCTCGATACACTGGCACTGCGTAGGGATGTTACATCCTTTTGCATGTTCTATCGAATTTACCACGGGGAGTGCTCTGAGAAATTGTTCGGATGAATTCTAGCCGCCAAATTTTACGAACGAACATCGCATCAAAATTCACGAAACCATCTTCACCATCTGGATGCTTGGCGATCCACGATTGTGCGTTTTACTAGAAGTTTTCTTCCTCGTACCACTTCTCTGTGTAATTGTTAACCACCGGCGATTTTTCGGACCGATACGACTTAGGGACCTTCAAGAAAAGAGCTTACACGTTTCTAAAAGGCCGACAACGCATCTGCAATTTCCCTGGTGTTGCAGTTGTTCATGGGCGGCGGTAGTCACTTACCATCAGGTAAGACGCATGCTCGTTTGTCCCCTCTTCTATGAAAAAAAAGAACTTAAGTTTCTTTAGATTTATATTATATTAGAATTATTAGAATTTATATTATATGATATACTCATAAATGTATGTATGTATTTATATATGTGTGTAAATATACGGGGTTATTTTTCAAAGAGTAGCCAAATTTTAAACTTAAGTTCAAATTTATAAATAATGATATACCGTTAACGCAGTTTTTCAAAATACGAGTAAATAAGGCTACTACTTTTTTGAAATTATCCCAAATTGAATGTGATTTATGGACAACGACGTTTTTACCTACCATTCGACCCTTACGAATGTGTGCGTGCTCAGTAAAATCAGTTAAAACAATGCATTACCACGCATTTTGAATTTAAAACATAAAAAGGACAGAATATTATATATATATAAATTAGGCCGGTTATTGCAAAATAATGTATGTAAGTATGTGTGTATTTTTACGTATGTATTGTATGATATACAACATATATATTGTTGAATGTGACCATGACAACCTAACTGGCCATAAGTCGCTCTGCTCTATCCAAATGACCGCGAGTTGTGACCAAAATTCGGTCTTGCAAGACATTATTGTTATCATCATCTCATCTTTGTGTTTAGGGGCTACCCAGCGACCATAATGGGCGTTATCCCCTACGCAGGGGTCTCATTCTTCACGTACGACACACTGAAGAGGTGGTATTCAGGTGAGAGGAACACGTATTTATATTTTAGCTGATTTTATAACTCACATCAAAACTAAATGGTAATATTAAAAATTTTGTTCAACCTACTTAAATATAAATTGTTAAGGATATCTCAAAAACTACTGGTCAGACCTTGATCAATATGTGACCACATGAGAAGCACCAGCTTTTAAATAAAAAGGGAATCATCAAAATCGGTTCACCTAGTAAAAAGTTATGAGGTAACACACATAAACAAACATACAGTCGAATTATGTTCCTCCTTCTTTTTGAAGTCGGTTAAAACATCTCATTAGCTTGCCCTTTAAAGCACGGTCGCGGAGCAGGAATCTTTTTACTGCGTTGCATTTTATACTTAATTCCCATCATAAAAAAGTTTTATTTCTATTGCAACTAAGATAGTTTTAGTACCATTTTAACAGTATTTCTGATTCGAAAATCGAGTTTATTCTCAAGATGTTAAAGTTCACATTTGTATGAATCGCAATAATTTATAATTCTTCCTGCTCCGCGATCACGTCATAGAAGGTAGTTGACATTGATATCGTTGCCGTGCAGGCGACAGAGGGAAACTGGAACAGGAGACGGACAGCAACGTATTGTATTCCTGCAGATGCAGATGCGTTGTCACCCGTGAGGACTAAGATGGAATGCCTCTTTGCCAGTAAAAAGGGTCTCCGGTTCTCTACACTCACCATAGGAAACAGCAGCGTTAAGCTGCTATTTTACGCTGGTATTCTGTGAGAGCGTGGTCCTTCCCCGGTCGAGCCGACCCATTCGTGCTACAATTATACTACTAATATAGCTGCAGCATGGCTCTACCACGTATAAAAAAACATGAAAAAGAATGATTATCTTTTAATATATAAAATTCTCGTGTCGCGGTGTTTGTTACCAAACTCCTCCGAAACGACTCAACCGATTTATATAAAATTTTGTATGCATATCGGGTAGGTCTGAGAATCGGCCAACATTTATTTTTCAAACCCCTAAATGATAAGGGTGACTCACCCTTTAATTTTTTTTAACAAAATTTTGACAAGATTTAGCATTGAAAAATACATAAAACTTTGGTATTCTGTGAGAGCGTGGTCCTTCCCCGGTCAAGCCGTTGCTATAATCAACATCCATAATCCACTACAGTGTGACTACCTTGAAGTGATAAACAGAATATACTTAGTCATGTCATAAGTTCTGTCAAAAACTTTTTATAAAATTAATCATACACATTTTGATAATTATATAGAAATTATATATGAAATGAAAGGTAATTTAATTTAGAAAACAATTTTATTTACATTATCAAACTGCCCTCCCCTATTTTGAATACATGCCCTTAATCGCAGCACGCACCACATTCATATCTATTTCTGCCGCTGCTTTAGCCAAAGATGCTCGGAGAGATTCCAAATTCTGATGAGGTCTAGCGCAGACTTTTTACTCCAAATGTTGCCATATATTGTAATCCAGTGGGCTTAAATCTGGACTAGAAGAGGGCCAGTCTTCATGTCCGATAAAGTCAATTCCACGGGCGGTCAACCAGTCTTGCGTACTAAGTGCCCTATGAGCTGGTGCAGAGTCCTGTTGGAATATCCAACGTCTGTGTTGAACATTGTTTGAGAAAGTGAGTTGTTTTTTCATAAGCAACATACTCACCTAGTGCTACAGACACTGTTAGGACAACAACGGATGGGACGCAGCAGTTCCGCAAACGCTCCACCCGCGTCCCGCGACATCGTACGATACGACTTAGCCGTTACAGCCGGGGTCCGTTAGATAACTCACTTACGTGCACTTCAAACTGTCGTAGGTGAACATCGTTCCGTAAGTAACGTTGGGAATAATTAAATAAAAAGCATCCCTGAGACCAATGAGGCTGTGAATGCCAAAAGGCTGACAGCACAAACATCATCAGAAACCAGCAGCAGTGGCAGCCATTACATCTTAACCCTCAGCGGTGACAACGCAACTGCAATTTGATTCTTAATCGAATATAGACGTTGGTGTTTATTAGTCACAGTATATTTTATATTGTATAAAAATATTCGGACGGTTTTAAAAAATGCATGAAATTAATTGACTTTTGTTCACCTCTAATGACGTCATAAATTAGGCTGAATGATGTGAGGCCAATATCTACTAATTTAAAAACGATATTGTATTATTTGTTTAAATGTCAGAAGTCAATTTCTCGGTTTTGTTTTTTTAAATAATATTTTTTTGATTTCTTACATTGTTTGATTTCTAATTTTATTGATTCATAAGTTGTGTTGGCCATTATAGTAATGGTTACGAAGGACGTTAGTCATTTTTAGTTTAGATTTATAGTTTGTGTTAGAAGTGAGGCATATTTATCGTAACAGATAAAGAAAACAGGTATCTTAAAATAGCAGACTGTAACTGTGACAAAAAGAAAACTGAGAGAACTGCTCTTGTTCCACAAGATAACAAATCCACTAAAACACTTTAAAGAGTTATTGCCAAGACAAATTATGAGCACATTGTCAGAATTGGTGAGAAATTAGTTTGCCTTCCTTCGGGAATTCTAGTTTCTCGCCAAGGCTGTCCAAGGGAATTACTGTAAGCCATCACTTCCATCTCTGCACAGGGAGGACGAATGACTGGCCCACGTCGCAAAAGAGAAAGCCGAATCACAATTCGAATCTCGATGACGGACGGAGGAAACACAGACTCCTTTCGTGCGTCCGGTCTCTAAAAAGCCTATCGCCATTACCTCTGTGTTCTCGAAAATAATGAAATCCATTATTAAATGCCAGCTCATGCATCATCAGTGAGCGCCGGTACGATTTCCGTCGTGGTCGCTCAGCTGGTGCTCTTGTGTACCTAACACACCGATGGGCGCAGGCGGTCGAGTCCAAAGGAGAGGCCTTGGCGGTTAGTTTAGACATAGCGAAGGCCTTCGATCGGGCTTGGAACAAAGCACTTCTATCGAAGCTTCCTTCTTATAGGCTTCCCGAGAAATTTTGCAATTGGATCACCAGTTTTCTGGCAGATCGGAGCATCAAGGTCATAGTAGACGGTGCATGCTCCGATTACAAGCCTATTAACGCTGGTGTTCCACAAGGCTGCATGCTATCGCCAACGCTATTTCTTCTGTATATCAATGACATGATTCAAACTGGTAACATTCATTGCTATGCGGACGACAGCACTGGTGATGCTTTATACACCGGCCGTGCCAATATTTCTCGAGAAAACCTCGTCGAGTACCGGAACAAACTTGTGACTGAAGTCGAGACTTTGTTGAACAGTCTCGGACTTGGGGCGACTAAATCTAGTCCAATTCAATCCCCAGAAGACACAAGTTTGCGCGTTTACCGCTAGAAGGAACCCCTTTGTCGTATCCCCTCAGTTTCAAGGCACTCCCCTTGTTGCCTTAGCCGATATCGGAATCCTCGGTGTCGACATATCGAGTGACGTGCAGTTTCGTGGTCACTTGGAAGGGAAGGCCAAATTGGCCTCTAAAAAGCTTGGCGTGCTCAGCAGAGCGGGACAGTATTTCGTGCCGGCACACGCCTGCAACTTTACAAGGGGCAGGTTTGGTCTCACAGGGAATACTGTTCCCATCCCTGGGCCGGTGCTCCCCAGTGCCAGCTCCTTCCATTTTATCGCATCCACACAGTGACAATTCACAAGTAGAATTATTTTTAAGCCAATGACGGTATTATGTCGACCTAAGCCTAGAACATTATTTCTTTTTTGAAACAGAAACTTGTTTATTTAATATAAATTATAAATAGCACTGATTGAAAGTCACTCTTTTGTTTAATTACCACTGGTTCGAAAGAAAAACCTCTGTCCTGGGAGGAACCTGCAATAAAACCAGCGGGACTTCTAAAAAAATAACAGTTTACAATTATGTATGTTACACAATTAACAACACAAAACAAATCAGACAAAACTAATTAGAAAAAGCACCTCATTCCCAGAGGTTATTATCATCCATAAATTCCTTAATATTATAATAACCCTTTTTATACAAACTTAATTTAATAAAGTTTTTGAACATCGAGCAGGTCAAATTTTGTATATTTTCTGGAATTTTGTTGTAAAAGCGTATACATCGCCCCAAGAATGAATTACTGACTCGATGGAGTCGAGTAACTGGTACTACTAGCTTGTGTCTGTTCCTAGTATTTACAGAATGAATATCACTTATTTTTGTAAAACTACTTTTATTTTTGTGTACGTACATTACATTTTCATAAATGTATTGAGAGGCCAAAGTTAATATATTAATTTCCTTAAATTTTTGTCGCAGCGACTCTTTAGGCTTTAAATCATAAATTGCTCTTATGGCCGTCTTCTGTAAAACAAATATAATTTCAGTGTCAGCTGCGTGTCCCCATAGCAAAATACAATACTACATTATACCTATTATGGAAACAGCCCACCCGTGCCATTAAGTGTGGAATGTGACTTTGTTCAATTGCATCCGCCCCAGCTTCTTACAGTGGCACGGATCCGAGTGGTCCAATTTTCAATGACTCTTCTCCATAGATCCGGCTGAATTTGAGCAATGGCCTATATTATGTTCACCTTTAGGGCATCGGTCGATTGTGGCTTGTTTGCATAGACCTGCGACTTCAAAAAACCTCGCAAGAAACAGTCCACCGCGGTCAAACTACATGACCTTGGTGGTAAATTCACATCACCCCTGCGAGAAATGAAGAGAAGCTTACTTTGCTGGAACAACATGTCATCCAGATCCATATGGCCCAAATTCTTTCAAAGCCTTTCTGTAGCGCTCGCCGTTGACGGTGATCGCCTCACCAGCATCGTTTTCGAAAAAACTAATGACGCCGCCGGCCCAAAATCCACACAAAACGGTAACTTTTTGAGGATGCATTATCACCTGGTGAACGTCGCGTGGGTTGGTGTCGTCCCATATACGGCAATTCTGCTTGTTAACACAGCCATTCATCCAAAAGGCGCCTCGTCGCTGTCGTCGTTCTGCTGTACACTTTCACGAACCGCGACGATGTTCTCGGCCGATCTTGCGTTTCTCGAACGGGTGTTGGCTGATTGTTTACCGAACGGGTCGTTTCAAATTTGGCCACTAAACGTTGAAGAGTCGTCTGTGAAGTGTCACCACGTCTACCGTGAAATGGGCGCAATGTGCGCTACGTTTGTACTACGAAAACTCATTTTGATAATATTTTTTTATCATTTGAACGTGGTGTTCAATCGTGTAACTTGCCATGGTGGTTTTTTTTTTTTTTTTTTATAGGAGAGGGGGCAAACGAGCATGCGGCTCACCTGATGGTAAGTGACTACCGCCGCCCATGAACAACCGCAAAACCAGGGGAATTGCAGATGCGTTGCCGGCCTTTTAAAAAGGAGTAGGCTCTTTTCTTGAAGGTCCCTAAGTCGTATCGGTCCGGAAAAATCGCTGGTGGTAAACTATTCCACAAGGAAGTTGTGCGAGGAAGAAAACATCTTCTAAATCGCACAGTGGTGGACCGCCAATCATCCAGATGGTGTGGATGGTATCGGGAGTTCTGCCGCGATGTGCGTTCGTGAAATTTGGCGGCTGGGATTAATCCGAACAATTCCTCAGAGCACTCCCCATGGTAAATGCGAAAGAAAATGCTAAGAGATGCAACATCTCTTCGCAGTGCCAATGAGTCGAGCCGATCGGAAATGACTCGGTCGTCGACGATTCGAGCCGCTCCGCGCTGGATGCGGTCAAGTGGAAGAAGCTGGCACTGGGGAGCCCCAGCCCAGAGATGGGAACAGTATTCCATGTGAGGCCGAACCTGCGCCTTGTAAAGTTGCAGGCGTTGAGCCGGCATGAAATACTGTCCCGCTCTGCTGAGCACGCCAAGCTTTTTAGAGGCCAATTTGGCCTTCTCTTCCAAGTGACCACGAAACTGCACGCTACTCGATATGTCGACGCCGAGGATTCCGATACTGGCTGAGGCAACAAGGGGAGTACCTTGAAACTGAGGAGATACGACAAAGGGGTTCTTTTTAGCGGTAAACGCGCAAACTTGTGTCTTCTGAGGATTAAACTGGACTAGATTTAGTCGCCCCCAATCCGAGACTTTGTCCAGCAAAGACTCGACTTCAGACACAAGTTTGTTCCGGTACTCGGTGACGTTTTCCCGAGAAATATTGGCACGGCCGGTGTATAGAGCATCACCAGTGCTGTCATCTGCATAGCAATGAATGCTACCAGCTTGCAACATATCATTGATATGCAGAAGAAACAGCGTTGGTGATAGCACGCAGCCTTGTGGAACACCAGCGTTAATAGGCTTGTAGTCGGAGCATGCACCGTCTACAACGACCTTGATGCTCCGATCTGCAAGAAAGCTGGTGATCCAATTGCATAATTTCTCGGGAAGCCCATAGGAAGGGAGCTTCGAAAGAAGCGCTTTGTGCCAAACCCGATCGAAGGCCTTCGCAATGTCCAAACTAACGGCCAATGCCTCCCCCTTGGACTCTACTGCCAACGCCCATCTATGAGTTAAGTAGACCAGAAGATCACCAGCTGATCGACCCTGACGAAAACCGTACTGGCGGTCACTAATCAGCTGGTGATCCTCAAGGTACCGCATGAGGTGGCAGTTTACAACGGATTCCATTATTTTGGAGAACAAGGGGGTGATGGCGATAGGCCTGTAGTTGGACGGATCTGAGCGGTCGCCTTTTTTAGGGATCGGGTGGACAAAAGCTGTCTTCCATGATTTCGGGACTACGCCTAGGGAGTAGGAGTACCGGAAAAGACGCGTTAGAACCGGTGCCAACTCCGGAGCACACATCCTCAGCACAATTGGGGGGATTCCGTCAGGCCCACTCGACTTGTGGATGTCAAGGGAGAGGAGTGCTCTGCGAACCGAGCGCTGTGAGAATCGCACATCCGGCATGGAGCACTCACACCGCGGGATGGTCGGCGGTGTGTTCGCCCCGTCATCAACAGTCGAGTTGGACGCAAAAAGGGAGCCTAAAAGGTCGGCCTTCTCTTTTGCGTCGTGGGCTAGTGAGTCGTCCTCCCTGTGCAGAGATGGTAGTGATGGCTTACAGAAATTCCCTTGGACAGCCTTGGCGAGAGACCAGAATGCACGGGTTCCCGAAGGAAGGCGAACTAGTTTCTCGCCAATTCTGCCTATGTGCTCTGACTTTGCCTTGGCAATAACTCTTTTGAAGGACCTGGAGGCGAAGTTATACTTCTTTTTGAGTGTGCTGGTGTTTACATCCCGAGTCACCGAAGCCGCAGCCCAGGCTTGATAACACTCCTGCTTACTGCGTAATGCAGTCTTACAGGAGCGACCAAACCAAGGCTGAGATCTGCCTCCGATGGGTACCACAGATGATGGAATAAATAGTTCCATTCCCTGTAGCACTACATCAGTGACAGAGTCAGCAACAGCGCTGGGATCATCCGGCGAGAAGCAAACCCGCCCCCATGGGTAGGAAGCAAAGAAAGACCGCATTCCGTCCCAATCCGCCGACCTGTAATGCCAAACACGGCGGCAACCTGCAGAACGCAACCGCGAGGGGAGCGTGAGTGGCACCACACTCCGGATCAGACAATGGTCCGAAGAGCCAAGAGGGGCATCGACGGAAACCTGATATCCGTCCGGATGAGAGGTCAGCAGAAGGTCCAACAGGGAAGGTGTATGATCCTCAACATCTGGAATCCGCGTAGGCGATGTAACCAGTTGTGTCAGACCATATGCCAAGGCAAAGTCATAAACAGATCTCCCCGCATGATCGGTTAAACGTGAACCGAGCCATTCGGCGTGGTGGGCGTTAAAATCGCCAAGAATCACGATCTCTGCGGATGGGACCTGTTGTAGCAAGGAATCTGCAGCCATTTGGACGTGGTCGATGAGTCGGTCTGTTTCGGCATTCGGCACACGTAGACGCGCGGATGGTCGTCGCTGTCTACGCGTAGCCAAAGGATAGACAGGTCCGAACCTTCAAGACTGCCGAGGCGTCGAGAACAGATGTCCTCTCTGACATACACGCAAACTCCAGCCCGAGGCACAAAGGAGTGCTCCAATTTGTACCCCGGATAGGAGAGATACGAAGTATCAGCCGGAGAGGACACCTGCGTCTCGGTCAGAAAGAGCAAGGCCGGCTTCGCCGTCTCAAGATGGTAGTGGACGGCGTTTAGGTTCGAGTGAAGTCCCCTGATGTTGCAGAAATTCACGGATAGCGTGGCAGGGGTCGCCTTGGTCTTGTTGCTCAGTTTGCCCCGAGCAGTTATTGTGTTGAGCGGAATTTTGCCCCCCCCAGAATACGCGGGGCAGCCTGAGCACCCACGCTCAGGAGTGGAATAGCATGGTCGTGGATGCTCAGCGAGGGATTCTCCAGGGGTACTGGTACCCTCCTGGGGTAGTTTATGACGTAATTCCGCTACCATGTTGATGGGGGGGGGGGAATTGGGCATCCGGTCACCTGCACTCACCAGACGAAACGCGGAAGCAGAACTTCCACTTCACGCCGGTATTCTGTGAGGTCGTGGTACTAACGCGGCTCGAGCCAGCCCATACGTGCAACAGCAAAAGCTGCTGTTGCACGTATGGCATATGTAACTGAATAATAAACAAGAGATTTGATAGATGTCATCAAAACAAAATGGCCGCCACGGGCCGCCAAAATCTACCCGTGCCAAATGAAAAACCATTTACAATATCTTTTGATGGTACTTTTTGAAATGTAAAATTATTTGTACACGCATTTACATTTTGTAGAATTCAGTGATTTAGTGGTTAAGATTGGAATATCATTAAAATATTATACAGAGGTGTTATAATTAATAGAATCAGGCATTACTTTGCGGAAATCCATTCTATTAAAGTTGGTAAAAATTACCTTGCGATAAAATGATGTGCTTTACCTAGTTCGAAATGCACCTCCTGCCCTCCCTAAATTCCGTGCACTATCCCAGTCACCACTTATTCCAGCATCACTACTCCCAACACCACTACACTAGGAAAGACCACCGGCGACAATACGACATGTGTTGCGCCTCTACACGAGGTATCTTCAGGTGATGGAGACTCTTTTAATTTATCGAGTGGGATGTACGCAAGGTAATTTTTACCAACTTTAACCGAGGTGCTCACAATGCGCGTCGAATTACAGTTCTCGGTACAATAAAATATAACTTATTGGTGATATAACTACAGTCGTATTATCTCAATTCGAGATTAGGATTATATTTCTTCTTTTATGCTTCTTTTTAAGCCTTTGGTATATGCTTCCTTTATTTGTGGGCATATATAGACGGGCTTTACATGTTCGACTTGCACTTGGCAAGCGTGTTAGTTTGAAGTTATCTAGTAACCGTATCCCCCCCCCTCCCGCCATCAGAGACCTTCGGGTCGGGCGCGAGCGGGCTGACGAACATCGCGCTGGGCGGGGCGGCGGGCGCGGTGGCGCAGACGGCGTCCTACCCGCTGGACATCGTGCGGCGCCGCATGCAGACCGCGCGCCGCAACGCCGACATGTCCTACCCCTGCCCCAGCATCGTGGAGACCCTCGCGCACATATACAGGTATGTACCTAGTACACCGAGGGGGAAATCATTGCTAACACACCAGAAAATATACTTAGATAGTGGTAAAGGAACCTAATGTACTTATAAGTCTATATTGTATAATATGCAATGTATTTTATACTCTACGATTATCTTACTTATTATATAGAAGTTCATCAATGAATACCACCCCTCAAATATATAAACGAGCAACTTAAAATAAAGAAAACAAAAGCGACAAATTTCTTAAATTAGTAAAAAATTAAAAAAAGTTTAAATTAAATAAAAATTCCTAAAAATAGTAATAATAGCGAAAGGAGATTAGGTACACATGATATAGTACTACAAGATAGTAGCGAAAGAAGATTAGATACACGTGAGATAGTACTACAAGATAGTAGCGAAAGGAGATTAGGTATACATGATATAGTACTACAAGATAGTAGCGAAAGGAGATTAGGTATACATGATATAGTACTACAAGATAGTAGCGAAAGGAGATTAGGTACACATGATATAGTACTACAAGATAGTAGCGAAAGAAGATTAGATACACGTGAGATAGTACTACAAGATAGTAGCGAAAGGAGATTAGGTATACATGATATAGTACTACAAGATAGTAGCGAAAGGAGATTAGGTATACATGATATAGTACTACAAGATAGTAGCGAAAGGAGATTAGGTACACATGATATAGTACTACAAGATAGTAGCGAAAGGAGATTAGGTACACGTGATATAGTACTACAAGATAGTAGCGAAAGAAGATTAGATACACGTGAGATAGTACTACAAGATAGTAGCGAAAGGAGATTAGGTACACATGATATAGTACTACAAGATAGTAGCGAAAGGAGATTAGGTATACATGATATAGTACTACAAGATGGTAGCGAAAGGAGATTATGTATACATGATATAGTACTACAAGATAGTAGCGAAAGGAGATTAGGTACACATGATATAGTACTACAAGATAGTAGCGAAAGGAGATTAGGTACACGTGATATAGTACTACAAGATAGTAGCGAAAGAAGATTAGATACACGTGAGATAGTACTACAAGATAGTAGCGAAAGGAGATTAGGTACACATGATATAGTACTACAAGATAGTAGCGAAAGGAGATTAGGTACACATGATATAGTACTACAAGATAGTAGCGAAAGGAGATTAGGTACACTTGATATAGTACTACAAGATAGTAGCGAAAGGAGATTAGGTACACATGATATAGTACTACAAGATAGTAGCGAAAGGAGATTAGGTACACGTGATATAGTACTACAAGATAGTAGCGAAAGGAGATTAGGTACACATGATATAGTACTACAAGATAGTAGCGAAAGAAGATTAGGTACACATGATATAGTACTACAAGATAGTAGAGAAAGGAGATTAGGTACACATGATATAGTACTACAAGATAGTAGCGAAAGAAGATTAGGTACACATGATATAGTACTACAAGATAGTAGCGAAAGGAGATTAGGTACACATAATATAGTACTACAAGATAGTAGAGAAAGGAGATTAGGTACACATGATATAGTACTACAAGATAGTAGCGAAAGAAGATTAGGTACACATGATATAGTACTACAAGATAGTAGAGAAAGGAGATTAGGTACACATGATATAGTACTACAAGATAGTAGCGAAAGGAGATTAGGTACACATGATATAGTACTACAAAATAGTAGCGAAAGGAGATTAGGTACACATGATATAGTACTACAAGATAGTAGCGAAAGGAGATTAGGTACACATGATATAGTACTACAAGATAGTAGCGAAAGGAGATTAGGTACACATGATATAGTACTACAAGATAGTAGCGAAAGGAGATTAGGTACACATGATATAGTACTACAAGATAGTAGAGAAAGGAGATTAGGTACACATGATATAGTACTACAAGACAGTAGCGAAAGGAGATTAGTTACACATGATATAGTACTACAAGATAGTAGCGAAAGGAGATTAGGTACACATGATATAGTCTACAAGATAGTAGAGAAAGGAGATTAGGTACACTTGATATAGTACTACAAGATAGTAGCGAAAGGAGATTAGGTACACATGATATAGTACTACAAGATAGTAGCGAAAGGAGATTAGGTACACGTGATATAGTACTACAAGATAGTAGCGAAAGGAGATTAGGTACACATGATATAGTACTACAAGATAGTAGCGAAAGAAGATTAGGTACACATGATATAGTACTACAAGATAGTAGAGAAAGGAGATTAGGTACACATGATATAGTACTACAAGATAGTAGCGAAAGGAGATTAGGTACACATGATATAGTACTACAAGATAGTAGCGAAAGGAGATTAGGTACACATGATATAGTACTACAAGATAGTAGCGAAAGGAGATTAGGTACACATGATATAGTACTACAAGATAGTAGCGAAAGGAGATTAGGTACACATGATATAGTACTACAAGATAGTAGCGAAAGGAGATTAGGTACACATGATATAGTACTACAAGATAGTAGCGAAAGGAGATTAGGTACACATGATATAGTACTACAAGATAGTAGTGAAAGAAGATTAGGTACACATGATATAGTACTACAAGATAGTAGCGAAAGGGATCTTAGATATACACCAGGTAATATACATGTGCGTTTAGATATATACCAGGTAATGATAGTTGTGGGTAGCGGTTAGTTAATAAATAATAGAGAGTGGATCTACATATGTAACCACACACAATAATAATTGCAACTCAAGCAAAGAAGGTTTTACTTAGAGTTAAAAAATTGTATGTTATGACTGCAGCGCGAATGGGTTGGCTTGACCTGAGAAGACCCACGTTCCCTCAGAACACTAGAGTGCAATTAAATGTTTCTGCGGTTCGTATGGTATATACGACACTCATAAGAAGAAATAGGCTAATGCTTCAAACTTACTTTTAATTATTTGGGACTACAAATGCTGTTAACTATTGTTATATATATTGAGGATGTTTTTCATGTTCCTAGGGTGGATGGCTGGCGAGGATTCTTCAAGGGTCTCAGTATGAACTGGGTTAAAGGTCCAATCGCAGTGGGCGTCTCTTTCGCCACATATGACTTTACTAAAACTCTACTCCGTGATTTCGCACACGTGGTTCAAGGCTCATGAAATACTTAGAAACGCTTCGGACGACTTCGGTGAGCATCAAAAGACAGGGTTGAGTTTTGAATGCTTTAAAAATCAGAAATATCTTGATATTGCTTCGGACATTGTAATATGGCTTCGGAGTTGACAGGTGTTTAGAAAAGCTTAAGAAATGTACGCATACCCTTTGAAACCTGCGATGGATATGATTTCGAGTGCTTCCGAAGCTTTCCGTTTATTGCTTCGGACATTGTAACATGGCTTCGTATATTAGAAGATGGCTTCGTAATATAAAATAAAGATCCTGAGGTTATAAACAAGGGTTAGAAAAGCTGCAGCAATCTCACATTACCTTTTGAAATCTTAAATGGACTAAAGTTTTAGTTTGTACATTCAGTGGTTGTCGTTGTGTTTTGTATCTGTGTTATTGCAAGTTTATGGAAGATACAGTGCTTTAGATACTTAGAACTACGAACAGCCGGTGACTTTTCTAGATATTTTTTATACATGGGAAGTATTTTAGCTGCATTTGGACTTGCGGGTTAGTGGGGGTGTTCTATGTTATGGATATCGATGTTATTTTAAGTATTAAATTAAATAGTTTAGCTTCTATGAAGTTTGGTAAGTAATTCAAATTCAATATAAAGATTGTTATATACTTATATGTTATTTTTTCTATTTTTGTTATTTTTGCTCACACTGAAAGCCTTATAAAGGATTTACTTTAGTGATTTGCATAACTATAAGCACTTTTCTGCACGAATTCTTGATAAGATCAAGGAATTTTTGTAGCATTTTTTAAAAGTAACTGATGTCCTTGCCCCAAAATGTGATATATACTCCAGTTAAGAATTAATTAATATGCTTATGTCTAAAGCGATAAGGTGCAGAATGGCATGTCGTTCAACATAAGCGGGTATTGACGGAATCTTTTATGTGTTATAGCTTGCCTTATGATATAAAACATATTACAAAAAATAGTTTATATTGAGTCTCATATTTAAGCTCGAGTATTTCAAGATAGAAGTCCCGTGGGAACTATGCAAATTAAAATGCAAGGTTTGACGGCTCTGTGGCTTAGTGGCTTAGCAATAGGTTGCAGCGCTGCGGGGTGCAATTTACGTTTGTAAACTGCCTCCACGATACAGAAGAAAATCCTAGTGTTGGGGTAACGTTTAAAATAATAAAGGTATGGGATTTAACGACGAATGTCAAATTTGGCAAAGACAAAGACAAAGGGACATTTTCTGTGAGGACTCTTTTTAAGGCCGGGACTATCAATAAACCACGTTTTGTAATGAGACCGAAAATATTATATACGTTTACTTGAGAAGTGACGTTTCGTTGTATTATATATAATAATCACTTGACAAGTGACACTTCGTAGTCGGTACGGGGCTTAGTGCAATTATTATTGTAAGTGAAGCTGGTTAAACACAGCGCCATCTAGCGGCCAATGCGCAATGAGGAGGTTTTTGGATCAAGCGTTATTCTTAATTTAATATATTTTAAAGCAATGTGTCTATAAGTTTAGTAAAAAATAACTCATGTGATGTTAGATGTTAAGAAGTTGTTATTTCCAATCCGTAATTAATTGTAAGGTCGATTAAGAAACAACTACAAAATTCCTTTAAATTAAAACTCAATCAGGTATACAATGACCACAGACTATTAAGTGTTTGACATTGACCTTAGAGTAATAACATACGTATACTTGTACTCAGTAAAACGTAGTGATTATACAGGGTACTCTTTGGTACATTGGTTGTATGACCGTCAAGAAACTACATAATATGTCCTATGTAAATGTTGTGTTTTATTTAACTTAATTTAATGTATTTGTACCACATGTTTTATATGAAGTTTTACTTTCTACACTCCATGTAAACTTAAGCTATGCCACATCTCACTCCTCCATGCGCGCAAAATGTTTCAAAATGAACAATATTCATTGATATTTTTAAATTATTTTTACCCCAATAAAAAAGAGTAGATTCTAATTTTACACCTAAAGATGGAATAATAGAGGATGAAGTTTATATTGAGACGAAATTGTAGTTGTTTCCTTAAGCTTGTGATATTACTTAGTTTATGTAAAAGCCTTAAAAAATAAGTTTTTATAAAAAGTCAAAACCATTTAATAAAACTAAAAAAAGTGTAAATTAATTTTTACCTTGGCTTCTGAAGTCAGGGATCAAGATTTTAACTCTTCGAAGCACCAGTTTTCACTTTAGCAAAGATTTTTGAAAAGGTTTACCTTAAACACAAAAGAAATAAGAAACTTGTTTATTAGATACTTCGCTATCACTTCCATTTAGGGTTAAATACGGACACTGACCTTACAGATACATACGAGTTCATGCTTATTTTCAATTTGTATATATTATATTGTTTTTTGTGCTCTCGTCTCTTGTCGACTCCGCCACTTAGAAAATAATTGGATTGTTAAAGAACACAATCCAAATATTTAGAGACGTGTGATGTCCGCTGAACAAAATGGCGGATAGATAGACTAATATGTAAAAACGACAAAGCTGTGAAATTAGGCTTGTGTTGTGTAAAGGATATGAATTTCTATCTTAATAACGCTTGATTTGAAGATCTAAAAGAACAGAACTTAAATTGACAATAATTATGTACTTACAAATATATTTATATTGTTATACACGTATATTGACCGAGGTGCGCGAACACCTTGCATGTGTGTTCGTGTGCGTGTGTTCAGATCTAGTTTTTAAATATAAATAAAATACTTTTGATGAATGTTAGTAAGTATTTATAAATGACGTTAAACGTAGCGAATGATTTTTAATCGTATAAGTAGCGGCACGAAAGTCTAGCTGTGATCGTTATTGCACATAAGTCGCGCTGATTGGCTGGCCAGTCCCATTCATGCAATTCAATTAGTGCGCGTCCCTTTCACGTTTCATTCAGCGCTAGACTACGTGCCGCAGCTTTTATGTGTTGGTGCCTTTATGCTTAATATTATATGTTCAAAATCATGGCTTTGAATCACATTGTAAAATTTAAAAAAAATATAGTCACAATAGGGTGTTTTTGCGCTTTTACAACGGTCGCGATTGTATGGGATATTTTATTATTTATCCAAATTCATTGACTTTTTTAAGGTAATAGGTGATTTTATTGGGTCACTAACAGCAATTAGGTCCTAACGTGGTAGAGCCACGCTGCAGCTATTATCGAACAGGGAAGGGGCGCGCTCTCACAGAATACCAGCTTAAAATAGCAGCTTAACACTGCTGTGTTTCGTATGGTGAGTGTAGAGAACCGGAGACCCTTTTTACGGGAAACGAGGCATTCCATCTTACTCCTCACGGGTGACAACGCATCTACATTTTGATTTGTAATCGAGGATAGATGTAGATGTCTATGGGCCACAGCAACCACTTACCATCAGGTGGACTGTGTGCTCGTTTGTCACCCTAATTCTTTAAATAAAAACTCGTCACTCAGTCTAGCTCTGATTCAAGTTAGTAGAGCGCTCGCGTCTATTTTTCAAGTTGCTCGTTACATGTTTCCCCGCACACTGATCTTATTAAACACAGAAGCCGTTGATTTTTCGGTCTTTTTGGGGTAAGGCGATCTACTTTTATCTGTTAGCGACCCAATGTTATTCGTTCTTATTAATTTGTTACAACAAATATTTAATAAATTATAATAAAATATTTAATATATTAATAAAATTATGCGTCGATCATCCATTTCATAGTTCTCTTTTAAGCCGGCCACAGACATACGGAATTCCGGTTCGGGATTCCGTGAATACATCACACACAATCTGTTCGGAATAACAAGGCTCAGTTGAGAGACTCATACAAAATCTAGCGTTTGAAGCGGCTTATTTCCGTTTGGAATTCCGAACGCACAGGCGGTCACACGGAATCTCGAATTGGAGAAAATTCCGTACGGAAAATTACCATATATGTGTGGTGGGTCCTTGATTTTATATGGACTTGCTGTGTTCGGAATTCCGAAACGGAATCCTGAAATGAAATTCCGTATGTGTGAGGCGGGCCTTGAATTTGTTAGGGTTCGCTTTCCCATTGCTTCCGGAAAGTAATCTTTGGTGTATTCTCTATTGTATTCTAATTGGCTTACTATATGACATTGACGTGTTGGGTTATTATATGACTAGCCAGGTTCACAGGTTATCGTACGCCAGGTGACTGTTGTACGGAATAATACAAATTTTAATGTAAATGGTTACAAATTTGCGTAAAGTCGATTTTAAATATTCATAATATAAATATTCATTCAATACGATGTAACAGTGTTGGGGTGATTTATATTCTTTTGAATTGAGTTTCAAATTGATTATAATACGAAAAATTACCACGCGGTCGAAGTGTGATCTTCCACTGTCCTTCGCTGCTGCAAAATTTGTGTATATTATGTTACTTAAATTTGGACATTGTGAAGTTTATGGGGTGAGGGGGAGGTGAGATATGGACATGCCTATTTAATTTTTTTTAAATATAAATAGTCATATCCATACTATTCCTTTCGTTTGCTTTATCAGTGCAAAATCGTCTTAAGGTTTTTGGAATTTACAGGTCAGGGTCAGGATGTATGTTTAACAAAATATGATTCGCGACCGTAGCGAGTATGTGTTTTCAGAATTATTATCATTAAAATCATCAATACAACCCTCTAAGGTCATATAATCCCTTTGAATGAGTTTTCTGGAAATAGCCATACAATGGGATTATACGAACTTAGAGGGTTGTATTGATGATTATAATGATTATAACTTTGTAAATACATACTCATTACGGACGCTAATCATATTTTGTTAAACATACAACCTGACACTGATCTACAAATTGCAAAAAACGTAAGAAAATTTGAATTTCGCGGGTTACCCTTGCGCTTTCACCTTAACTAAAACATGTATTTAATTTTTATTGTATGATTGCAATATTATTCTAGTCTTGATAGAATATTTATATATTTTTTGTAAATTTTAAAAGTTTTACTATGTGGAGTTGCCGGGAAATACAAAT